ATAATAACCCCCCAAGGATGCCCAATCCTAATCCTCAGAACCTGTGAATGTGTTAGGTTCCATAGTAAAGAGGAATTAAGGTGATGGATGGAATTAAGGCTGCTAACCAGCTCACCTTAAAACAGGGAAAGTAGCCTAAGTTACCCAGGTGGGCTCAATGTAATCACAAGGGCCCTTAAAAGTGGAAGCAAGAGGCAAAAGAGTCAGTGTCCAAGTGATGCATTTGAGAAAGACTAGACCAGCCATTGTAGGCTTCGAAGATGGAAGAGGGCCGCAAGTCAAGGAATGAGAGCAGCTTCTAGAAGTTGGATAGGCAAGGAAATAGATTCTCCTCAGAGCTCCCAGAAAGGAATGCAGCTTTGCCAACATCTTGATTTTAACCCAGTGAGACCCATGTCAGAATTCTGACCTACAAAACCACAAGATAATAAATTTGTGTTGTTCTAAGCCACCCCACTTCTGGTAGTTTGTCACAACAGCAATAGGAAATTAATAGTTGTTGTTGTTAGGTGCAGTCGAGTCAGTTCTGACCCATGGCGACCCAGTGTACAACAGAAGGAAACACTGCCAGGTCCTGCACCATCGTCAGAATCCTTGCTATGTTTGAGCTCGTTGTTGCAGCCATTGTGTCAGTCTATCTCATTGAGGGTCTTCCTCTTTTTTGCTGACCCTCTACTTTACCAAGCACGATGTCCTATTCCAGGGATGGTCCCTCCTGATAACATGTCTGACCATCCTCCCTTCTAAGGAGCATTCCAGCTGTACTTTTTCCAAGACAAATTTGTTCATTCTTCTGGCAGTCCATGGTATATTCAATATTTTTCCCCAATACCATAATTCAAAGGCATCAATTCTTCTTCGGTCTTCCTTATTCATTGTCCAGGTTTCACGTGCATACGAGGTGATTGAAAACACCATCGCTTAGGTCAGGTGAACCTTAGTCTTCAAGGTGACATCTTTGCTTTTTAACACTTTAAAGAGGTCTTTTGCAGCAGATTTGCCCAATGCAGTATGTCATTTGATTTCTTGACTGCTGCTTCCATAGGCACTGATGTGGATTCAAGTAAAACAAAATCCTTGACAACTTCAATATTTTCTCCAAAGAAATTAATACACTTTAGATGATTTTCAACTTTTTTCTCATGATAAACAATAATGCGATGAACTTTCTTATAGCTATATCTTTATACTTCTCCATATTTTTTTTTCACTCCTCATTCACCCCTCACCCCAGCCCCTGGTATCCATTAATCTTCTTTTGTCTTGATGAATTTTCCTATTCTATGTAGTTCATAAAAGTGGAATCATACAATATTTGACCTTCTGGTTCTGACTTATTCCCTTAGCGTGATGGTTTCAATGTTTATCTTTGTGGTGGCTTGTATAACAACTTTATTTCTCTTTATGGCTGAATAACACTCCACTGTATATACAGTAAAACCTGCGAAAGTCAAAACCTGTATAAGGTGGAAACCTGCCAGAGAAGGAAAACTCACTGGGTGTGTCTTAATTATCTAGTGCTGCTATCACAGAAATACCACAAGTTGATGGCTTTAACAAAGAAAAATTTATTCTCTTACGGTCTACGAGGCTAGAAGTTCAAATTCAGGATGCCAGCTCAAGGGGAAGGCTTTCTCTCTCCGTCAGCTCTAGGGGATGGTCCTTGTTATCAATCTTCCCCTGGTCTAGGAGTTTCTCAGTGCAGGGACTCTGGGTCCAAAGGATACATTCTTCTCCTGACACTACTTTCTTGGTGGTATGAGGTCCTTCTGTCTCTGCTCGCTGCTCTCTTTCATATCTCAAAAGAGATTTACTCAAGATAAAAACTAAACTTGTAGACTGAGTCCTGCCTCATTAATATAACTGCCTTTAATCCTGCCTCATTAACATCATAGAGGTAGGATTTACAACACATAGGAGAATCACATCAGATGACAAAATGGTGGACAATCACATCATACTCAGAATCCTGGCCTAGCCAAGTTGACACACACTTTGGGGGGACATAATTCAATCCGTAAAATTTCACCCTTTGGCCCCCAAAAATTCATGTCCTTGCCACATGTAAAACACATTCACGCCATCATATCATCCCAAAAGTCTTAAATCAACTCCAAGTCCAAAACCCAAAAATTCCTCTTCATTTTTGAAATCTAGAATACAAGTTATCTGCTTCCAGATACAATGATGGAACAGCCATGAGTTAGACATTTCCATTACAAATGTGAGAAATTGGAGGGAAGAAGGGGTAGCAGGTACCAAGCAAGTCAGCACAACAAATTTCATTAACTCTCAAACTTGAAAATAATCTTCTATTCTCTGAGACCATTTAGCAATGGCCCTGCTATCCAGACTCTGGGTATTGGCCATACTCTCCAGATTCTGGGTGGAGGCCCTTTGGCCCTGGGCTCCAGCTCTGACTTCCAGGCCCACTGGAATGGCAACTATGCTCCCTAGGATTTGGGCAGCCCCATTCTCTAGTCCATCTGAGTGGTGACCCTATCCCGTCAGCCCCAGCAGGCCTCATTCTTCTGCTCCTTGGTCATGGCAGTCCCACCCCCACAGCTGTCAGCAGTGGATTTGGCCCCATCCCTCTGGCATTCATGAACAGCAGCCCCACGCTCCAGAACTGAGTTGGTGAAGATCTGACTCTTTGAAACCTAGCAGGCTGTGGCCCCACCATTTGAAACCCCAGAGGTCACAGCTCCACCCTTTGAGATCCCAGACGTTGTGGCCCTAACCTTTGAGACTGAGGCAGCTCTGGTTCCTGTGTTCTTTGCCTCTTCAGCTTCTGCTTCTTGGTTCCTTGGCCTCTCAGCCCTCAGGCCTCACTGCCTGTGTCTGCCCTGCTGTGGCAAGTGCTCCAAAGCTATTTAGCTCCAGGGATAAGTGCCTGGAGGCACCCTACTCCTGCGAGAAAAGGCACTCAGCTCTCACTCCATGGGTAGGCTCCAGAGTTGTCTCCCACTGGTCTCCTGGTTTTGCTGCTGCAATTTCTCCGCTGCTGCCTTTTCTCTGCCAATGCTTCTCACCATCTGTGCTGTCTCCAGTGTAACAGCTCTCCTCGCTTCCTTCTGAGTCCTCACCAGAGTTGTCTTTGATGTCCATAACTCCACCAACAGTCTCTTCAAGGCAATCTAGGTTTTTACTATTAGGCACTCCAAAACTCTTCCACCCTCTACTCATTCAGTTTCAAAACTACTTCCACATTTTAGGTATCTGTTAGAGCAGCACCCCACTCTCGGTACGAAGTTCTGTCTTAGTTATCTAACGCTGCGATAACAGAAGTACTACAAGTGGGTGGCTTTAACAAACAGAAATTTACTCTCTCACATTCCAGGAGGCTAGAAGTCCAAATTCAGGGCACCAGCTCTAGAGGAAGGCATTCTCTCTCTGTCGGCTCTAGGGGATGGTCCTTGTCATCAAGACCTTCCTCAGGTCTAGGAGCTTCTCAGTGCAGGGATCCCGGGTCCAAAGGATGCACTCTGCTTCTGGCACAACTTTCTTGGTGGTATGAGGTCCTTCTATCTCTCTGCTTGCTTCTCTCTTTTATGTCTCAGAAGAGATTGACTTAACATACAACCTAGTCTTGTATATTGAATCCTGCTTCATTAACATAACTTCCTCTAATCCTGCCTCATTAACATCATAGAGGTAGGATTTACAACACACAGGAAAATTACATCAGATGACCAAATGGTGGACAATCACACGATACTGGGAATCATGCCTAACCAAGCTGACACACATTTTTGAGGGACATAATTCAAACCATAATAGGGTGTTTATGAGGTAGAATTCTTAATAAGAGAAATAGAAATGTGGGTAAGCACCCTGTCAAAGGCGGAAAACCTGTGAGACCTAGAAAAACAAGCTAGTCACATTCAAGTTCTGACTTTCACAGGTCTCACTGTAATATCCACCTAGTGAGTGTGAAGTGGTATCTCGTTGTGCTTTTGATTTGAATTTCCCTAAAAACAACAACAGCAGCAAATGGCTAATGATGTTGACTATATTTTCATGTGCTTACTGGCCATTTATGGAGCCCTGGTGGTGCAGCATTAAGAGCTTGGCTGCTAACCAAAAGGTCGGCAGTTCAAATCCACCAGCCACTCCTTGGAAACTCTATGGGGCAGTTCTACTCAGTCCCATACGGTCACTATGAGTCGGATTTGACTCGACAGCAACGGGTTTGGTGGTTTTTATTTTTTATGGTTTTGTGCCCCATGCTTATACATTCCTTTATAGAATGGAAATATAGCATCCACTTTAACTTCTTCTTTTGTAAATTACTTGTTCAAATTTTTCTTTTTAAGTGTTCATTTTTTCTTATTTTTTAATAAAAAATCCACTTGTGTCACATATATTGAAAATGTCTGCTGTTTGACTTTTATGTTTGATGTTTTAAGGTACAAAAGATTTTGCTTTTTCATAATTGAATCTATCAATCTTTTCCTTTATAATTTCTGCCTTTGGTGTCATATTTCAAAGTACCTTTCTCAGTTCGACATTTATATAAATATTCATCTGTATTTTCATTTAGGGCCTTTATACCTGAATGTTGTCAGCTAAGAATCTAACTTCAGTTTTTCCTCAATGATTATCCCATAGTCTCAACAGTGTTCAATATCTACCCTAGAATAAGTTAAAGATACTTCAGAACAAATTGTGATATAGACTTGAATTCTCAGCTTTTTAAATGAAATGTCGTTGAAAGAGAGAAAATCATCAAAAGAACAATTTTCTGTTTAATTTTAATTACCTCAGTCTCTGTGGTTTCACATACACCCTTTCAGGTACGAGACATTTAACCCAGAAAGAAATGACCACATCTGTAGAATAAATAAGTAACCACATCATAGCTAAAATAAGGTTATGTTTTCCAGTAATAAAATGGCAAGATCTTTAGCAGCACAGAAGAGAAAGCAAAAGAAAAAAAAAATCCTTTGTGTTTTATTATATATTAGTAATATTGATACCTGAAAACATATGGTGTCCATATGTGGATAACAGAAGCCATGAAATTTTCCTTTCCTTTCTCTTTCCCTGCTGCCTTGCTTCTCCTTCTAATTCTTGGAGGTAAGATATATTTCCATATGCTTTTCAGTTTTGCTCATGAGAAAGTGGAATTCTATATTAGTTTTAATTTATGTTTAACATTATGGAAAAAGGAAAAAAATCCTAACTTAATTTCCAATAATTTTTAATGGTACCATTTGTCTTTGCGGGCTAAAAGGCATATTGGCTTTTTAAGAAGAAAATATACCCTACATGTCTACAGTAGGAAT